ACTCAGGACTAAATGACTACAGACCTGTTGCTTTAATGTCTGTGGTCATGAAGTGGCAGCAGTGGAGTCATTCAGATTCCTGGGCACCACCATCTCACAGGATCTGAAGTTGGACAATCACATTTACTCCATTGTGAAAAAGGCCCAGCAGAGGTTGTACTTCCTTCGTCAACTGAAAAAGTTCAACCTGCCACAGGCACAGATGACACAGTTTTACTCCGCTGTTATTGAGTCAGTTCTGTGCTCTTCTATAACTGTCTGGTTTGGGTCAGCCACCAAATCAGATATAAGAAGACTGCAACTGACTGTTAGGACAGCTGAAAGGATAATTGGTGTGCACCTGCCCAACCTTCAGGACTTGTACAACTCAGGAGTGAAGAAACGGGCAGGTAACATCTGCTGCATTCACGCCAGGTCATAATTAATGTAATTTCGAGATAACACATGACGCTCTACTTGGAGCTGTTCACACCCTTGGACTCTGAACTATCGCACTATCAATGCCTAAACATAGCACCTAATGAATCTGAGGTGGTCAGGTGGTAGTGGTACAAGTTGTAGCTCTCAGAAAACTCCCAGTTCACAAGTTGTAATTACGAGTTCTACGAGGACGTGAATGCTTTTTACTAGTTGGTATCTCGTAATCACGGTAATTCCGATATGACGTGAATGCGCCTATCATCACAGAGCCCTCTCACCCTGTCCACAACCTGTTTGCACTTCTCCCCTCAGGCAGACGTTACAGATCTCTGTGCACTAGAACATCTAGGCATAAAAACATTCCCCCCCATGCCATCTCCAGCTTAAACAGCTAACACAGAAATTACCACCTGTCTTCTGTAATTCATTTCTTAATAGCTAATCATTGCATCCCTCTCTAGTATTATGTAAATACATATAAACATTTTTATTTATACAGCTTTATATACTGTAAATAATGCACAAATCTGTACATACATCTTCTGTTCCAGATGCATACCACATTATTATTTTTTCCCTTAGTCTTATTTAAATGTTCTTTCTGTTCTCAATGTCATATGTATGTTTGTACCAAGTGCTCCTAAAAAACACAACAAATTCCTTGTGCATTTGCACACACTTGGTGAATAAAGCTCATACTTATTCTGATATATATTCTGAAAAAAAAAAAAACAGAAATGCAAATGTGCCAAATCTCTTTTCAAACAAAATTGCATTTCTTCCTCTTTCTCAGTACTTCGAGTACACATCTCAAAAGGAGATTCGGTTTAACTCCATGACAGAGCTGTGTGCTGAGGTTCAGGATGGAATGACACACATAGGGATGAAGCATTGTCCGCATGACGGTGCTCCCAGACCTCCTGGCATCATATGGGATTTCAGAGATGTGAGTCTGCTCGCCTACAGCTCACATTATCACTGATAAAGTGATAAAGTGCCATCAGCAAACAGGATGAGATAAGAAACAAACAAAGTTATTGTATATCAGATCTGCTCTGTTGCATCTTCATGGCAAAAATTCCTTATCTAGCATTTGTGTCTTTTCAGGATGGCAGCATATATCACCCTCATTCAAACATGTGTATCACCTCCTACCGCACAGAAGACGGCCGTGCAGATATCCAGATGAGAAGTTGCTCTCCTGGAGACAAACACCAGCGCTGGAGCTTTGAGTGACTTTAAAACCCATGTGAACTTGGATGTAAGTGCAATTATCAAAAAGAATGTCACTTCTGACTTGGCATTAAAAAAGGAGTGAAGAACAGGCATAAAAATGGGACCCATCCATCCATATAGTGCCTTTGCAAACCAAAGTGGACATACTTGTAGTGCCAATTCTTGCGGTTCCTTGTTAGAGACATTCAATGTGCTATTCTAAGTACAAAGTGCATATTAGAACTATTAATAACGCATTGTAGCAAATTCAACCATCCAGCGTGTTGGAACAGCATTTTTGTTTACATTGATGCACTATACGCTTCAAGTGAATCATTTTTAGACTCAGCAGTAACTAATCTTTAGATCTACTGCACAGCAATTTTATTTAATTGTATCAGAAGTGACTGATTTGAGGATGTCGTGAGTGGGTTTGTCTTGATTGTCATCTGTTGTTCTCTTGTTATATTTTTGTGTCATTTTGAGGCTGTTTTTGTATTACTAGGGAATTTAGGGTCTTTTCACCTTATTTTGTGTAAGCTGCATGGACTATTTTGGCACACTGGTGTTGTGGAACTGTACCAGCATTTTAAGGGGCTGTTTACACGACAATGTTTTCTGCCAAAAATGGGAAACTTTTTATGAGTTTTGACTGTTAGTTTACACGACAATGGCGTTTTGGGGACTGAAAATGCATATTTTTGAAAACAGGTTTCAAAGTGGAAGTTTTTGAAAACAGCACCGTTGTCAATACAGCATTTTTGTCCGTTTTCGCAGATATGTGTAAACGCAAATCAATTTGAAAACGTTGTCGTGCATATGTGAAACTTTTTAAAAACGCAAGGGAAAAACTTTTCCGTTTTTGACAACACTGTTGTCGTGTAAACGTACCATAAGTCTCACTCACACTAACAGCAGTGTTCAAGTAGTTTGTTAATAATGTATGTACACTTGAATTTGAAGTAGATTACAGAAACTGTAATTCAGAGTTGGTATAAAATGTAACGCAATTGTGGACCAAATCTATCAAATCCTAAACAGGTTGTCCAAAACCAAGTTTTTCTCTACTACACATTTGGGAATTATCCACTTTACCAGTTAATTGTTTTCCTAGAAAAATTAATTGCTGGAAATTTATTGACTCACCAGAAAGTGCCTCTTCAGACAGACTTTTTAAAAAGGTGCATTTTCCTTCACAAATCAGAGTATTACAATACTTTATCAAGATGTTGGCCAAAGTAAAATTCAGAAAATTGACTAAGTGCTTTTATCACGGGTCTTCCAGCTTTCACACATAACTGAATAATGTATCAGTAAGTTTTGGTAAATATCTTGAAAATGCTATATCGTAAACTGTATATGGATAATACCTTTATTTTTGCACTAAAATGTATTTAAAATGGCAACATACTTTTTTTTTAGGTCTCATCCTTTGTAATTTTCAGTGAATTTAATTTTTTAGGGACTGTGGGAAAGTGAACATGAAATTTGAATTACTACTGATAAAGCACAGTTTGTGTTGATCATGTGTTTTGCTGATGGACTGTAATGAAGTATTTTTGGAACATGGAAAAATATACAAAGTATTTTAGTCTCAATAAATTAAATTAAAGTTCTAAATGTTACATTTATTCTGGTGGCTTGTTTATTTTGACAGTGTGACCTGTCCTTGACTCTCTGTTGCTGTGCCATCTAGTGGTGGGAAAATAAGATCTGGGATTAGAATCAAAACTGTTTTTTTTAACGTTTTATTTCCATGTTTTTGTAACATTGAAGTGCATTCATTAGAGATTTAATCAGGTAAAGTTCCCCATTTTACATCCCCTTAAAATAAAGTGTTCCCTGCACAGTTTTACATTTGTGACCTGAGCCTCTTATATAAACCAGATCACGAGGAACCACATGAGGTTCTGCCAAGTCAGCTTCAAATGTTTAATAGCACACTTCCCAGGTGTGCCACACAACTACATAAATAAAGCTGGGGGTCACTGAACATTGACATGCTGCTTATGTCTACAGGATGCATAAATAAAGCTGTACTTTCCCCTATGACTTATGATTGGATTGTGGGCAATAGGTGTGTGATAGGTCCCCTTAAACTGATGCCAATTATGTTAGTTTCTTATTCCTCTGAGAATATCGCAGCAATGAGTAAGATGGCAATTATACATGAAGGACTCATCACGTTTCCCTTGAGGTCATTCAGTGGTAGTCCAAACAACTTGATTTCCTCTGCTAAAAGCTGCTCTGTTCATTTAGGTAGGTGGCAGTTTGCTATTAAAGGGACAGTCTGTTACACAACCCTCATGATATTTGCAAAACTCATCAATAATCTAAAAAATACAATAGAATTTATATAGGGTGTTATGAAGTATATAGCAGCCTATATTTAACTTATGTCTGATTGGACATGTTAGAAAAGCTGTTTTATATAGTTGTGTGTTCATACTTTATGTGGTAAATGACTGTGCAACATTGTGTTCAGTGTACCATAGATTATTACAACACTCTTTGGATCTTTTACAATAAGAGTGTTCAATCAAAAAACTGTGGCACTCAAATTACCATCTCACCTCTCTGATGGCCTAATCAATAATTAAACAAATTAATTTGGATAAACATACATTTTGCTTTCTGCATGGATCATCTTACATATTTATTATAAAATATTTTTTATAAGAAGGGAACGGATGAGGAAAATATTACAATATTTTTGTGGATGTAGATTTGGGTATGTCTCTTAAGAAAGTTAAAGAAGCTACTGATTATTTCCTTTTAATATTTCTAGCAACTGTAGTGACTGACTAAATATAAGTATAGTATCATGTTTTAATTCATACATTTTTATAATAAATAACAAAAATGCATTTAGTTTTATATTGTTTAAAATAAAGCTGTACAGGACCCTGGATTTTTAATCAAATTGTTAGTTTCTTAATTCATATATATATTTTAAACCTTTGAATATTTATTTATAATTTTATGACATCAAAGGGAGCAGCCCAATCAAAACAGCTTTTTTAAACAGCTTTTTAAAATGGAAACTTCAGCATAATTCACTTACTTTCACATTAATAAGTTTGCTTATTAATGTGAAATGTCATAACCACCAAGAATGCTGGAAAGTAAACTTACAATCAGCAGAATGTGTCCAAAGATCCTGTATAAGCTCTTTCAAAATATTACTTGTTTTTCTTTTATTGTGATAATTTAGATAATATCCATCAGGTCACTTTAGAAAGTTTATAATTGTAACATGCTTCATTTCATAAAAATGATAACAACAACAAAGAAGTTTATAACTTATTTAATGTCCAGTACAATGAACACTGGTTCTGACACTAGCGACATGCAAGTCAATTGGTGGCTGACTAAATACTTTTTTTCCCCACTGTATATGGATTTAATGTTATTTCAATACAAATTTCAATAATTTCATGCAAATGTGTTCAAATTAATTGAAAAGAAACAAAACCGTGTAATATGGCAGAAATTGTGAGAAAAGTGATGTCTACAGGAATGAACAAATATACACTTCAAATAGAAACTTCAAATAGTTAAGAAGTGTGTTGTAAAAGGTTAGGCTGGTTGTGAAATGTGAATGAGGCATTCTTATTTAAATCATACATTATTTCACATATTAAGTAACAATGTATGTACAGGCTTGTATATCTTGGCATAACGGTGTTTATAAAGCGGACATGCTATGGCAATATGTGGCAGACGGAGTCGGCCCAAGTTCATTCTGTACATTCTCGGGGCTTTTGTAGTGGGATATTTAGTGTTTCACAGGAACACGCAGAGTGATGTCGGACTGGCGAGTCGAAGAGAAGTTCCAGTCGAGCAGCACAAAAATGTGGACGAGGAATTACTGAAGAAACCTGTTTGCGACAAGCCTCCTCTAGACATAAATGCTTTGGGAGAGATGGGTAGAGCTGTTAAACTGGATCTGACTGAAGAAGAGAAGCGAGAGGAGGAGGAGAGCATCAAAAAACATCAGATAAACACTTATGTGAGCGATAGGATATCATTACACCGCAGGCTGCCTGAAAGATGGAACCCACTGTAAGTGTCCATGCTGGACAGGAATGTTTGAAGTTTGATATTTGTGAGAGATCCAGCCTTAAAAGATCATTAAATGTTTTGTCTAATGGTATTAATGGGTTTATTTGTATAACATCAGAATGTAGACAGGTAGGTAGCCTACACATCGTAGTTAATTAGTTGTAATCCTTCCCGATTTATTGCAAGCCATAAAAGTTGTAAATGTTTTTGTAAACGGTCCCTATCTTGCCCCAATGTCTAATATGCAATTACAGATAGGGACCGTCTACAAAGTAACAAAGCAGGAGAAAAACGTTAAACGTGGTGCTGTCACAGTTGGTCATACTCAAATAAATTTTGTACATAAAAAAAAAATCAAAAACTTTTTGTTGGTTATCTCACAAAAATGCTGAATTTTTAAAATAATTAATAAAATCCATTGCAGTCAGACCCCTTTATGGACACGTTGAATAAAAAATTACTACTATAAGTCAAGCATATATAAATAATAAATACAAATGAAGTCTTACCCAATTTATACTGTCTTTCATGTTCCCTCTTTAACTTTAAACATAAACAAAGAACAAAAACAAGAAAAAATCTTGAGTAAAACGATAACTGGATATTAATAGAATAGTGTACATAAATATTTACTTATTTAACAGTTATTAGTTAAGTTAGGTCCAGGCACAGCACAAAGAGGACACACGCATCCCTGATCACAAAAATCTAGGTTTGAAAACAGATTCTTATTAAGGAAATACCACAGCAATAACAGTCTCAGCTCCACCCTGTGGTGAAACAGCAAGTTGCTCTTTTATACAAAAGCCAATTAGCATACTTTATGTCTGTCCTAAGTTCTTGTTCCCTCTAGGTCTGCAGCTGTTACTGAGCAGTTCTCATGAATTTGACCCACAGATCATTTAAAGGAGCCTCTAGAGAACTACATCGCCAATCTCAAAAAGGTGCGTCTGATCCGAGCAAGGAAGAGAGAGGGTTTGGTGCGAGCGCGGCTCCTGGGGGCATCCATTGCCACAGGAGAAGTGCTGACCTTCCTCGATTGCCACTGTGAGTGCCATGAAGGCTGGTTGGAGCCTTTACTCCAGAGGTGAGACTGATAAACTCCTCTCTACAAACCTCAAACATGCATTGTTTCATTAAATTTGTACATAAATTTGCTCTGTTTTTGCATTACAAAATGTGCATGCTTTTTTTCTGGTCACGCCTAAACTACATTCTACATCACTGTTTGTTTTGTGAGAAATGAATATTTATCTCCCCCTTTTAAAAATCTCTAAAACCTGTAGAATAAAGGACGAGCCTTTGGCTGTGGTGTGTCCAGTGATTGATGTTATTGACTGGAACACCTTCCAGTTCCTGGGCAACGCTGGAGAACCTCAGATTGGAGGATTTGATTGGAGATTGGTGTTCACGTGGCACAGTATCCCAGAACATGAACAGAAACGCAGAAGTTCTCCCACTGATGTCATCAGGTCCGTGCTTCATGGTTGCACCAAATGGAAAACAATTTGTAATACTAAGGAAAACAATGATTTGGTTGATATGTCATTGCATTTTCAGCATTGACTGAATCATGACCATTTCTTTGTGATTTTTGTTGCAATGTTTCAGGCAGCAGAACCATTTAGGTGAACATATTTGAATGTTTTCTCTCCAAATTAAATGTTTATGCAAATAACTGCAATAAAACATCAGTAAACCCTGCCTTTATGTAGAGTGATCATATGTCCTCATTTTCCTGGACATGTCCTGGCTGAGAATTGCCTAAAATGTCAGTTTTTTTGGCTTTGTTTTTTTTCTGTTGTTTTCATACTTCTTAAAGGTAATGACTGACAAGTAGGTTGACCAATAGCGTGGAGGCAGTGTACATAATTGTCCAATCATGGTGTGCAAGAAGATGGGATCTACTGTACAGAGAATGGTCAAATGCAAATACACGTACATATAATGTACAATGCCAAAAGCCAGACATTTTACATTTTGAAATCCCAGCCAGGACATGTCCGGGAAAAACAGGTTGTATGGTCACCGTAATTTATGCTTTTCCTGGACGTTACTGTAATTTTCCTAGTAGAATCACAGAAATATCTCTGTCTGTTGCTTTGATCCAGGTCTCCTACAATGGCTGGGGGTTTGTTTGCAGTCAATAAGAAGTACTTCCATTACCTGGGCACATATGACACAGGAATGGAGGTGTGGGGTGGAGAGAACCTGGAGTTCTCATTCAGAGTAAGTGCGTTTTGTTGAACTCTTTCTAAAAAAAAAAATGTTCCTCTCGTTTGTCTCCCAAGTTTTGGTTTCCTGAGGGGAGAAAGCCTTTTTGGCAGATGGTCACAATCCTAGTTTGAAAACTGTGTGATGAGTCACACAAGGTTAGGAGGTCAGTCTGTGTCTTTATTAAGTGTCCGCCAGCTAACATGATGAATAAATCGACCTTCAGTGTTTATGCAGCATTTACTTACTCATTATTCCTCTCATTACTCAGCTCATCCCCTGAAGGATTCCAACACTGTTACATAGACAGCAATGGTGCACTTGTGTTTTGAATGCCTTGAATGCCAGGAGCGGCGTTTTAACCAGATTTCAGCAAGGAACGTCACAAAGACCAGACAGCTGCTCTGTCAGTGCAATATGACAGACCAGCCTATTTATTCTCTGGATCGGTCTATTTGCAGGAATTAACATGTTAACTTAAGATTTCAATCAAAGAAGTTACTGTTTAATGTTAATTGTAATAATTTAGCACAATAACCAAATTTGATATTACTGTTTAAAATTGTTTGAATTAATCATGTTTCATAATTTTTAACAGTTAGAAATCAAAACCAAATCTACATACAGTATAGTGAAAAATCGTTTCATCTAGAGAGTTTTCTTTGTCCTCTCAACACTGACCTTTAACTTGCTTACTTAGGATATTATGGCAATTTTGTCTGTAAAGCTGATTTGGAGCAATATTTACTCTTATTATTTAAGAGTTATACAAATATATTTGAATTAAAATGGAAATTGTTTCTCTTCAGCATTATATCGAACTATACTTAAATAATGGGGAGAAAAAGAGTACAAGAAAATATACACATCTGGAGAAATGTCATATTCAGGGGTCCTTAGAAGGCAGCATAATTAAACTGCCTAATTTCAAATATGCCTAAAATGCTGCCTACGGATTATTTCGGATGGCTAATCTGTTTCCTGTCTTGGGTGTTTTTCAGATCTGGCAGTGTGGAGGGAGTCTGGAAATCCATCCTTGCTCTCACGTGGGCCACGTCTTTCCGAAGAAAGCGCCATACTCGAGAAACAAGGCCTTGGCCAACAGCGTGCGGGCGGCAGAAGTCTGGATGGACGAATACAAAGAAGTGTATTACCATCGCAGCCCTCATGCTCGTCTGGTACGCCTACTTGTGCGGTCTGATGCATAACTCTGCTTTTGTTTGCTTGTCTGCTTGTTTTCACACTGTCTATCTTTGAGATTAGTGTAGATAGACTCGCATAGCCCTTGTGAAAGATGCACATTTTCTTTGCACAAATCTAGATGTATCTTCACCCATCTTTACAGAATCTGTGGATATGCTCTAAACGAGCCCTGTAGTTAAAGAGAGAGGTGCTCTCGGTGACAGATCGGATAACCCTTTTCTCTCTGCACCTTGGAGATGCTGCCAGGTTGGCACCACCAACTCGAAATCTATCTGACGAGATGCCAGCAGATAAAGCTCTCTCTCTTTTTGGGTATAAACCACAGGCAAACACTGGCCTTGCCAACGTGGATCAGGTTTGACAACCTTCATACTCTGCTTCCACGCAAATTCGTAAGAGGATCGCTCTCTCTTTCACCCTCCCGAGTCTCGCGGCATATTTTATTCATGGTCAAAATCTCTGTTGTTTGGGCCACAGAGTTCTAAAGATCAACAGAATGAGGCTCTTTGATGGATCTTGATGATCAGAAAGCTTAATTTGACAGCCGCTTGGTTGAGCGTGTAGCTGGACGATACGTGCCGCCTCAGGACTTTGTTGAGACTGAAGCCTGATCACAGATAGATCATCAATGGGTGTGATGTTGTGCCACCCGGCTGGCACTCACAGCGAGACCGTACGTTATTGATGATTCGCTATCAAGTTGGTTAATTAGAAGTGCGTTTCTTGTCATTCATCTTAGTGCAGATTTGATTAAACTCAGCCAGAGCTTTACCTCCAACAGATGTTCCTCATAGGGGAGAGTATCTCTGGCACCACTGTGTGGACCATCACTCACCAGTAATTCATGTCTGGCGGGTGGTTATGAAGAGATGCCACAGACATACACAGGAACTTGGCCTTTATCAGTCTTGTTTCTTGAGATGGGGTTACAACTTTATTTTGCAACAGGATGTTGCAGCATGTAGCAATTTGTGGTGTACCGTTGCAGGGTAATTGCACCAGAATGCTTAAAAAACAAGATGACTATGTTATTAGTTGTTTGCTTTTATATGATCATTTTGTGAAAACAGTTGATGTAGAATGAAGAGAGAGTATTGTAAATGATCTGTTCATGTGGTATTTACTAAGACAAGAATTACAATTGATGGCTGGATTCCTACAGGAAATTCACATTCCTTGCTATTCACATTGGGGACGGATATTTGTAAATGAATCTTTTTTTTTTCGACGAGCAGTCCAAAGTTTTTTGTCTTTGTTTGACAAAGAAAACAGACTGACCAGTGACTTATGAGCTGTCACATCAGATACAAAATAAATCAAAAATATAAACTGAATGCAGATTAGTGAATCAGTCACCTGTATATGTAAATTATTATTTTGATGTAAATGTATAATAGACCAGTGTGAAAACCCAAAACAATGCGTCAAACAGGCGATAGCTGCTGTTACTCAAGAATTCAGCATGTTGGTGTTGCTAAAGCTTCTTTCATTTGACGTGGAGCTGCTGTTGTCTTTACATACCTCTGAAAAATGACAATTAAAAATGTTGCAGTTCATGAAAAGTTGCAGTTTATGAAAATGAATAGTCTCTTTTTAAAAAGGGTGCAAGTAATACGTTATTGTGCATATAGCTTATTAATAAGCATAAATATAAATTCCAAACCGCATCATACCAATGCTCATGAAGTAATTAAGTGTAAATACATTAAAAAGTAGTAAAATATCTTCAACAGGATCCATCATTTTTAACACTTGTTTCAGGAGGCATATGGTGATGTGACAGACAGACGGAAACTCCGAATGCGTCTTGGCTGTAAAGATTTTAAGTGGCTCTTGGAGAACATCTACCCTGACATTCAAGTCCCAGAGGACAGGCCTGGAATGTTTGGCATGGTGAGAAGAGACAAACTTCTTGTGTTTACATGCACAGCTTTGTAGCAGCAGAAATCAAGAAGTAAAAATGCTATTGTTCACAACAGTAAGCAAGTTGGTTTGATTTAAGGTTTACAATGCAAGCATAGTGTGACATGATGAAATGAGGCCAGTTCCTTTGTAATCAACAAAACTACACTGCAAGCGAGTGGCATAGTGTAGACAAAATCTGGGACGGTTTTATTTAAAAGTTGAAATAAACAGAACTTTTTTTTTTTAAATTCAGAACAAACATTATGATATAAACTTTTACTCCTATTATGCTGATAATGTAATTTCTGATTAAAAATCTATAAAGACAAATTATTTATATGATGAACAGACGTGATTTACATTTATTCTCATATGAACATTGAAGTGTCAGAATTTTGGGTGAAGAGAAATTTCTCAGATTTGATCAAAAAAATGAGTAAATGATGACAATTTTCATTTTGGGGAGAAATATCCCTTTAAATAAGAAAAATCAGACTTTTGGACACATTATTTAAATGTTTCTTTGTTTCTTCTCAATTGTAGCTGAAGAATAAAGGAATGGACAACTACTGCTTTGACTACAACCCACCTGATGATCATAATATGGCCGGTCACCGAGTCATTCTTTACCCTTGTCACGGCATGGGACAAAACCAGGTAGCTTTCATTTTGACAGACAGACAGCCACACTGCTCCAATTAGTGTTCACTGCTGCACAATACACAGAAATTGTAATGCGTCCTCAGGAATATACATCAACGTGTGTCTCATACTTCTAATGTATTATTAAGACCGCATCCTAATACGGCACAGTAAATAGTGTGTTGTGCACTTCACAGCACACTTGTTTTTAAAGCAACTCCAGTCGCCGGGCACAGATTTTATTCGTCTCCTCCCTCTCTGTGGGGAGGCAGATGAGCCCTGGAGACTCATCAGTGCACAATATCAGCCATATGTACAGCACAACAACACTTTTCTAATGGATTCTCTCTGTGAATACAAGAGAAATGCTCTTCCATTTTTTTTCTGGTTTGGTACATTTGGGTCAATCCTGTTTGAGACTTAAAAAAAAAGATGGTTTATTCGAAGGTATAACAGACCTTCAGAAATGTGTTGAGCTGTGTTGAGTGTGTATATATCTTCCTGTTCCCGCGACAGTTCTTTGAGTACTCCACACTCCAAGAGATCCGTTATAACACGAGGGACCCTGCAGGCTGCGTCGTGGCTGATCCTGTCTCCACATTTCTTACCATGCATCACTGCAGTAAACCCAGGGAAGCTGTGCCTGAAGACCAGAAGTTCCTATTCAGAGAGGTGAGATCACAAACCAGATGTATGATTGTATGCAAATAGAATTTTATTCAAATTAATTGCATTAATTAATCCTAAATAATCACATATACACTACCATTCAAAAGTTAGTCTTTTGTCGACTTTTGTTGTTTTATTCAGCAAGGATGCTTTAAATTGGTTCAAAAGTGAAACCGTAAAGTAACAGTAATTTATAATGTTACAAATAATTTCTATTTGAAATAAATGCAGTTCTTTTTAACTTTTTATTCATTAAAGAATCCTAAAATATGCATCACAGTTTCCACAAAAATATTAAGCAGCACAGCTGTTTTCAACATTGATAATAAAAAGAAATGCTTCTTGAGCAGCACATCAAGTGTTCTTGGAAGCAAACAACAGTCCAAGAAAATGTCACATTAAAGTGTTACTTGAGAAAGTCACCCAGCATGGCAAGAGGTTTCAGTGTGGCTTGCAGTGAAATTTCAGAAGCAAGCCTTAGTGTGAACTCTTTGCCAGTACAGCGAGCACCTGAAGAGCAGCGTGACGTCAGCGTGATTCTCTCTAGACTGTGGGGTATTAGAGTAAGGAGGAGAGGTGCTGGGAGCAAATGAAACGCTGGGGTTGACTGAGCTTCCTGTTCTAGTGTGCCAAAGGCCTTTATACTGTAGTATTTGAACAAACCCCTGACCTTAAGTATTCGACTTGGATGTGTAACAATTCTCATAATCATTGCATTGGCAGGACGGCTCTCTCTACCATGTTCAGACACAGAAGTGTGTTGAGGCAGTAGCCCGGACCGACACTGGGAACCCTGGCCCTGCTCTCCGTCCCTGCTCCGACTCAGCCTCCCAGAAGTGGTTCTTTGAAGAGAGAACATAGCAAAGGTTCTCTCTACACCCTTCACCTGCACTACAGTTCAAAGTGCATTTCATATGGGCTGTTCTGACTTCACACCAGCTTATTGAGCATTCCACTTCCTCCGCTTAGGATTGATAGTGCCTTCCTTTTACACGACATGCACAGTACAGACTCTGTCTGTTAAACTGAAGAAAATATGGTATGTTTTAATGAATTAACATATTTGATTTGAACATTTTTGGATAGTGTATTAAAATTAATCACTCATAATAGAGTTGTTCAGTTTGTAATTCTAAAACCCTGAGGAGAATTAGCATTTTTGTGCCATGAGTGTTCTCAAAAATGTTCAACGAGTTTTGGATTTCTGAGTAAAATAAGGTATATGTGCTACAACATTCACTACTGTTCAAAAGTTTGGGGTCACAATTATTATTTTTATTAAGCAAGGATGCATTAAATTGTCCATAAGTGATGGATAAGATATTTATAATGTTACAAAATATTTATTTCAAATAGGTGCTGTACTTTTTTAACTTTGAGTCATCAAAGAATCCTGAAAAAAATGTTTCAAATATCATTAATCATGTTTAGAATATTAGAAAGATTTTTGAAGGATCATATGACACTGAAAACTGGAGTAATGGCTGCTAAATATTTAGCTTTGCCATCATAGGAATGAATGACATTTTAAAATATATTAAAATAGAAAATGGTTATTTTAAATTGTAGTTTTATTTCACAATATTACTGTATTTTTATGGTGAGCATGAAAGACTAATTTCAAAATCATCAAAAGTTCTTACCAGCTCCAAAAGTTTGAACAGTAGTGTATGTTGTATGATGAAATGTAAAAGTCTCGAAACTACAGATCATCTTTGAATTCTAAATCCAAAACTGCCATTCTTAAAGCCCACAGGAAGTTCCTAAGGAAACCCATGGTGAATTAGTCTTCCAGGTTGGCCTGCACATACACATCATTACTGAACACCTCCATTTCTCAGCAAGATGTGTAAACTGTATTTAAACGCTCATCATAACCTCTGGGTCTCTCTCTGTCGCAATTGACAATCATTACCATTTTATAAGATGGTAATTGGAGTTATTTTAATCAGCCAGTGCTGCCAGCTCCATCTGCTGGTGTCTCATCTTCCCCTGTTCTCCTGCAAAGTAGCTTCTATTTATTCAAATTCTTTGACATATTTAACTACTTTTTTCTAGCGACTAGCATTTTTAAAAACTCCTCCTCTGTGATCCGGTACCCGATGTAAGTCAGATCTCGCTTGCACTTCGAGCCTCCTGGCAGCCTGGTTGTGTGTGTATTTTTGGCTGAGTATTGAGATTAGGCTCAGATAAGCAGCAGTGCGGGCAGTGGCGGCGCAGCTGCCATTCTCTTTCCAACCACTAGGTGGTGCCAAATTCTCCCTTTTATTCCTTGTCCGCTTTGTCCTGCATGCTGTAACGTCAGCTTGTATTTACATTGTGTAATTTCAGTAGCCCACGATGCAGTGATTGAGATGCTGGGTTACACTTTTTATACACAATTACTGTTAAAAATGTACAGTGATTATTATTACTTTTATCTGAAACCATATGGCAGCCTACCTCTAGTCATTTACCTGCTGTTGAGAATAGATCGTCAGTCATTTGAAGGGGATGAAACAGAGCTGGATGTCACAGCAAATACTAGATTGTAGTGGCCAAATTACTGTGATTTTTGCTTCATATTTCCCTAAAGTTGTAGAGAAACAGTGCTGGTTAGTTAGTTTAGGGCAGGGGTGTCAAACTCAGTTCCTGGAGGGCCACAGCCCTGCAGAGTTTAGATTCAATTCAACTAATTAAATGCAGCTGATCCAGCTAATCAAGTCCTTCAGGCTTATTTGAAAACTACATGGTATGTGTGTCGGAGCAGGGTTGGAACTAAACTCAGCAGGGCTGCGGCCCTCCAGGAACTGAGTTTGACACGCACTGGTTTAGAGTATGTGGATATAAACCTCTTTAAATTCTGACCAACTGTAGGTATGTTTTCTATGCTGAATGCTCATTTCTGTAAGTCATTTATAATTAATTTATTTGATTAACTTAGCTTTCTCAGTTATTTATTACTTCAGTAATTGCTGGTGTCTTTCAAATTGCTGGGATGTTGAAAATAGGAAGTAGATTTTTAGTCAAAACTGAACTCTGTCATTTACTCACCTTTATGCCGTTCTACAACTGTACAACTTTCTCCTGTGAAACACAAAAGAAGATATTTTGAAGAATGTTTATGCTGCTATTTTCCAAAAAAGGCACGATATAAATATAAAAGTTGTCTATAAAAGTCATGAGCTATTTTCTATATAGCTATATAGAAATAATAGTTCTATAAGTTATTGATTGAAAACCACCATTTACTTTATTTCTGTGGAAAAAAGCAGCTATGCCATGCTTAAATATCTCCAAACAGAAAGAAAGAAAGAAAAATGTTTTTGAAAGACTTAAAGATGAGTAAATAAAGACTATTTTTCTTTTATTTTAAAGACATTTAAAATGTTTTAAGTGCCTTACACAGTGTTCAAAGAAGGACATTTTAATGTAAAATATAGGTGAGAGGGAACTTTCCTTTGGTTTACAGATCATATTTTTTGTTTTAATCTATAAGGTGACGGGCCAACTGAACATTGTCATGGGGAGAATTGGTTTACTGATGTGATTCTATGAGAGCATGTGACATGAGCTTCAATACTGGACAGATGTTTTCACGGCCTCTATAGATAAGAAGGTGATTGAAAGATTGATAATATTATGAGAACAATTATGTTTGCAATGGTAGGGCTTTTCCTGTCTGTCAAAGCCTCAGAATTTGATTATGGGTTTCTTAAAGAGGTCAAAAAGAGGATATTCTGTATGAATGGTTTTAAGTCCTATTTCCACTGTCTATATGGTCATTTTATCCTCAATACAATGGAAGTATAAAACACAAAAAATGATACATTCTATAGATAAATGTGGTTTAAAATTCATATCATGCATTTTGATCTTCAAACATGCCTAGTTACTGATGCATAGGACCAACCGTGGCCATAAAAGTTATGTGGTTGGTAACGGCAGCAGCGAGTATGCACTTTTCTTGGAATAATGAATGCTTTTTAATGTTATTTTATTTTACGTTTAATTTTAATGATGGTAGAATGTTGAAACCATGTGTTTTGAAACGGTATCAATGCTGGAAGAAAATTCAGGTAACTTTATGCTGTGTAAGTGACCTTAACATCAGAAATGAAGGTATTCTTTTTTTATTATTAATGCATTAATTATGGTTAATGATGTCTAATATCTAATTTAAAGACGCACTCAGTACTTTTTTGTTTGTTATGCTACACCATTTTATGTCATTCACAATCAGTGATAATACGCAATCACAATCATAATACGCAAAGTTTCAGAAATAAGGTTATTAGTATTTAACAAAAGCCAGCCCACTCCATGTAAAATAAAGCTGCTTTTATTAGGTAACTGATATGATTGCAGTCTTCCTCTCATGTGAGGATACTTTATTTTATACATATTTCAATTTCTTTGTGCAAAACATTTTAATTAGGGAAAAATCTATTGAGTGCACCTTTTAATTGTAACGACTTTTTTTTTTTTCTAGATCTAAAAAATTAAAGTTGCTTTAACTTCAAATTGATTTCATGTTTGACTTTTTACACATTAAAGCCATTGAATAACATCCCAATGTGTGCCTATCTTTCTTTACCAAAAACTGACAACACCTGGCAATCTTTTTTTCCACCGTATTACACACTCTCGTATCTCCAGCAAGTGCTCGTATTCTGGCACTTCACTCGGGTTATTGTGGAAAATAATAAATCGCAAACTCTTCCCATTTCGTTCACCCGCTGAATGCGTGTTTGTTCTTTCCATCCATGTTGGAGTCTTAGTCGCAGCGAGACGATGGTGGTGTCGTTGGCAGCCGATTGGCTGGAAGATGTGCAGCTGAGTATGAGGAAGCACTCATGCCAAGATGCTCCTCACTATGCGCTCTGCCCCGCAGTCATTCTCAATTACTCATTCATGATGTGCGTCTGTTTGATATTTCATACTGTTTGTGGGTTTCTTTTGTATGGTGTCATCTGCCTCGCTCTCTGGGTGCAGGATGGGATTAGTTTGGAACACTCTAGCTGGCTTTAGGAACAGGGTCATGGAATGAAGCTTTGGAAGCCGGCAGATCACACCGGCTCTGCTGCCAGAGAGGCGTTAGATGTGCCTTCTGCATGAATTACTGTGGAGAACCTTATTTTCGTCTCGTTGCATCTGCACAACTTCTTTCTCTTCAGCAGCGGCGTCAGTGTTGGTGCACTGTTGTCATAGGCAAATGGGATTACGACCACGTCACTTTTTAGCTTTAGAAAAGGGTATTAAATATTAAAATGATCTCTGAGGTGTAAACGGCATTCACCTCCTTGTGATGCATTTGGGATCTTAGATATGAAGGAAGCTTGCTCGCCTACATTCCATGTGTTGCTTGACAAGGTCTCTCTGTATGCCGAGCATCTCTTTTCAGAGATGAAAATAAGCTTGAGTTGGCAAAGCGAGATGAGACACTGACAGATACATGCTATCATTTTCTACACTGTCTGTTCAACTGGCTCATGTTGTCGAACTAATGTCTTTCGTGTTCATAACATGTTAGCACTTTCAGGCGATGAAGCGAAACCTGGCATGTGAACCTCTTTCAAAATTTCTGATGTGAAATATCAACCGTTCAGGGGTTAAAAGTGACTTTAACCCAGAGATAAGTGTAGTGTGTAGTGTTTTTAATATTACACTGAATCTTGACAGATCTATTATATTGTGACGTATTTTCGAGTCTAACGGATTATTCAAAAAGAAAAAAATGAAGGGTGGGGACTTAGTTCTGTCTATCGGTTGTTGATTGGATTTTGAAATGTGGGCGTCATTAAAATAGTTAAGTCTGTCAGGTGTTTTTCCCCATTTTCCTCACAGCAATGAATGGTTTGCTTGCATATAGAGTGCAACAGTGCCATCCTTGGTTCTGGAAGTATTTTCTCACAAGGATTTAAAAAAAAAAAGTCTTTGTTACAGAGACATAAGCCATGAACCGAACCGAACCAAACCAACCAACTACGAGGTGAATCACAATATTACGAACTTTGATTTGAAACAAAGAATTATTTGAAAAATGACAAAGGGAGAAGT